TTCTTTATTCTTAAAAAGATGTTAAATATTAATCGCGTGTCTATGTGTGAATGAATGAACGGCACAGATGCGCGCTGTTTACTTCAGCTGTAGTAAAAAAACAGCGCACATCTGTGTTCATTCACACTGGCACTTACATTAGTAAACATGCTATTTTTACATGAACACATCTACTAGTTTAGCTTTTACCAAACTATATTGCTATACTGAGAAGAAAATAAATCGACTGAAATATGTTGAAATAAAATGTCTTTGTATAAGCATTGTATTAAACTGAAAGTTACATGCATGTTGCTCACATATTATGGTAGCCCTGTTTGTGACTGTGCCACGTAGTTTATTTTTTCAGCAACCAACTGACTAATTCAAGTTGTCAACTAAGCCTCTTCTCTTCGACTAACGTTTAGTCAACTATTAGGGAGCTGCCCTCCACAAACACTTGCTGTTTCCTGACGTGACCTGACCTTCCTGCCATCTTCATTATAAAACCATGTATTATCATTGATTCTCCACCCGTGTGTGTGACATTCAAGCCTTCACTAAAGAACATTCAAAACTGGTTAGGGCTGTTCGTGGGTCGGATGCTCAAACTGAATTATGAAATAGTGTTCAGTAATGTCCACTCAAAGGCATAGTGTTTTATTGACAAGTGCCTGTGCTCCCCTTTTGAGCTAGCATTAAACTAACATGTCAATACATTAATGAGCCCCTCCTTCATAATTTATTAAAATCTCATAAAATAAACAAGGACTGGGCAGTCGGTCAATGTAGTGCCGGACAAACTGCAGAGAGACTCGAGCAATTCGAAGGCTTTGCCATGCAACTAAACACTTAAAATGCTATTGAATAAGGTGCTAAATCAAAACTGAGAATGCAAGCGAGGCATTTGATACATTTTATAATTATAAGCTTTCATGGCAATAAAAGCTTCAAACATGAATAATTTATGACTACCAATAAAGCTCAATACAAGTGTTACCAGTTTACAAGCACAATGCGTTCAAGTAAATATGCTTGTGAAGTTTAGTCTTGTATAACAAACCCTGAATTACCCGAAACAAATATCTACAAGATGTTCAGCCATTTAGATGACAATAAGACTGCATGTGACCAAAACTAGAAAAAAGCACTTCAACAAAACAGTCTGTCAATGCATTTTACAATTACTTAAATATTACAAATTATGCTTTTATTTGCAGAAAATTGGGTGAGTTCTAGGTTACCATATTGACTATTTCCCTAAAAATGTACATGAACGTGTATAAGATATATAAAAATGAATATAAAATGGTCATCAGGAATGGGCCAACTGGTAATTAATTTATACTGAGTCCAAACCCCAAAGTGTAAGAATCAGAATTCTTACAGTCAGAATTTGGCGTAAACAGAATGAGAACATGGATCCATCATGCCTTGTTACCACTGTGCAGGCTGGTGGTGGTGGTGTAATGATGTGGGGGATGTTTTCTTAGCAAAATTTAGGCCCCTTATTGCCAATTGGGCATCGTTTAAATGCCACGGCCTACCTGAGCATTGTTTCTGAACATGTCCATCCCTTTATGGCCACTATGTACCAATCCTCTGATGGCTACTTCCAGAAGGATAATGCACCATGTCACAAAGCTTGAATCATTTCAAATTGAGATCTCAACCCAATAGCCCACAGTCACCAGATCTAAACCACAAATCTCCATCAACTGCAAGATGCTATCCAATCAATATGGGCCAACATTTCTAAAGAATGCTTTCAGCACCTTGTTGAATCACTGCCACATAGAATTAAGGCAGTTCTGAAGGCGAAAGGGGGTCAAAGTACACAGTATTAGTATGATGTTCCTAATAACCCTTTAGGTGAGTGTATATTAGAATACACGCCATTACTACTTTATGACATAGAATTACTCATACTTTAACATTAAATTTAGATCACACTACCAAGTTCTAATATTTTTGTAGATATAAATAATTAATCACCTAATTGGTAATGTATCAATCCAATGATCTAAAGTATTGATGACAAGAAAAAAAAAAATCACAATATCTAATTGTTTCGCCACGATTTAAAACCACATTAGAAAGCAAGATTCAAATGTGCATTAAAGAGGTGGACTGAGGTTTTGGAACGAGGAATGAGAAATGAGAAATGGAAATGTAGTATCACCAGCGCATTACCCACACACACAAACACATCTATGACGTTAAGAACGCTGGGAATCGTAAATTAGATTTAATTGCTCCTGCTCTATTTGGATGCTGACTCAGAACTATGGGAGTCCTGGATGAGAATCACACAGACCTTCCAGTGTTAGATGACGAGCCAGAGAGCCTCTTTACCACTGAGGTGAAGACCACAGCAGATTATAAACGCAATCCATCTTACGCTGCAGCCTGACTCTGTTGTTTAGGAATGTTTGTGAACCGATAGCTAGTGAAGTATCACTAAAGCCTGTAAGCTTGTTGATATGAGAATAACATACTTTAACCTCCTGGCATCCTACACAGACACCCACAAACATTTTTTTTTCTCCCGCTCCAGCACATCCTAAAGGTGCTCTATAGGATTGAGATCTGGTGACGGTGGGCATTTGAGTAAAGTGAATTCATTGTCATGTTCAAGAAACCAGTTTGAAATGATTGAACCACCACCAGCCTTAACGGTTCATACAAGGCAGGACAGATCCATACTTTCATGTTGTTTAACGCAAATTCTGACCCTTCCCATCTTAAGTGGGAGTGGAGTGGCACCAGTGTGTTCTTCTGCTGCTGTTGCTGTTGTGCATTCAGAGAGGCTCTTCTGCAGACCTCGGATTGTAACGAGTGGCAATTTGTGTTACTGCTGCCTTTTATCAGCTTGAACCAGTCTGGTCATTCTCCTCTGACAAGGCTTTTTCGCCTACAGAACTGCCACTCACTGGATTTTTTCTCTTTTTTTTGACCATTCTCTGGATATATTCTTTTGTTTCTGACTATTCGCTGCAAACCATAAAGATGGTTGTGCGTGAAAATCACAGTAGATCAGCAGCTTCTAAAATATTCAGACCAGCCAGTCTGGCATTAACAACCATGCCACGTTCAAAAGTCACTTGAATCAGCTTTCTTCCCCATTCTGATGCTCAGTTTTTGAACTTCAGAAGATGATCCTCTGCATGCCTAAATGCATTGAGTTGCTGCCATGTGATTGGCTGGTTAGATATTCAAGTTAATGAGCAGTTGAACGGGTGTATCATAAACTGGCTCTAGCTGGTGAGTTTATATATATTTGTGAATAAAAAATATAACATGTATTTACTGTTTTTAAATAAACACAATTTTCAGATCATTCTAAAAAAATATTGTGATAAGAATTCATAAGCATTTTATAAGAATACAGTTTTGTTTTTATTTCACCTATTGGTATATATATATATATATATATATTAAAAAACCTATATATATATATATATATATATATATATAAAAAAAATCCAAACAAACAAATAAATAAACAGTTTTTCAACAAATGTCCGGACAACAGTCAATCTCGACTTTTAACAATCAATGATCGACTTTAAAAACTCATTCAAATTAGATCTTTTTTTTTTTAAATACAATTAATAATTATATTTATTTGCATATGCATTCATATTATTTGTATATGAACACAAATAATATTTTGTTCCATTCAAAACTGGTTTCTTAAATGCTTAAATGCTTAAATGACATTAAAACTAAGACTTAAAAGAAAGTATAAACTTTACGGCTCTTATAAAGTTTACATAAAAAAGCCTCTTAATCATTACTCATGGTCCACTAGAAGTGTGGTGGTGTTTGTGTTTATTAATACACTCCCCATTGTGCCTATATTTTCATATTTTCTTCTTGAATTCCTGTGTTTGGGACGTTTCTGGGCTGCAGCCTTTGGGCAGTGGGTGTGTCGCCCCAGCTAATAACAACGCACAGCAAAAGTGAGGGTGGAACTTTATCATCTGTGTCTGGAGCTCGGCTCGACACAAAGTTTACTAATGTTGCAATTGCTCTGTTAACAGCTATCTGTAACTCAACAGATTACTAGACGTTGCAATTAGGTTTTTATGAAGATACGTAATTATTGTTTATTAGTGAGCTAATAAGAAGGTGAATATGAAAATTGAGGCATGGGCTAACCTCAAGGCGATGGCTCTAGCAAATCATCATTAGGAGGTGGTCAAAAGACAACATGACACAAGCTGCCTGTGTGAAGAGTTCAATAGCATTAGCACAGAAAGCCGTAGCTATTTGTAATCTTTTGTGTTTGTTGAGGCTGAAAGAAAACTTATGAGAATGGGGGGGGTCGTCATTTTGAACTTCAGTATTTTGAGCTAAAGCCTGCGGGATAATTTAGTCCTACTTTGATGCATATTTGGTGTTGAAACATTCGTGACTGTAAACAGACAAAACAGAGATGATGAAAAATATCTGCCAAAATGTCCCAATTCAACCCATGTTGCCAGGGCAACAAACTCCTATAAGTCAAAACTACCTCAAGAAAAATGTTCTTCTCTTGATAGAATGCATCACTGGTTGTTTATGGGGCATCATTTAAGCTCTGCTCCAAAAACTAGAGATGCCTTCCTGTCTACACACTGTAGGCAACTGACTTCTAAAGCAGTTTCATGACAAAAATGAAGGTACTTATTTTGAATGCTCTATATACATACACTAGCATTCAAAAGTGTTTTTGTTTTTGAAAGGATGCATTATTGACTAAAAGTGTCAGTAAAGACTATTACTTTGCTACAAAAAATAAAATAGAATCCCTTTTCAAATAAATGCTTTTCACAAAAATTCTCAATTCTCAAATAACCAGCACTGAAAACCATGAAAAACCATATATCAAACAAAAATATAACCAGAAATAGAGTTTTGTCTTCGAGGAGTTCAAAGTCACTCTGAAACTGTACTATAAACCAAAAGCTGAATATTAAAAACAAATCCATCTGGAACCTGTTGAAGAGGAACACTGAGGAGAACAGACGACCTACCGAGAACATTTCCTGAGGGAACTTCCTCCAGTTCTTCCAGCTCGCGGCCCATCAGCAGGTAGAGGCTGTCTACGGTGCAGCAGGCCATGTGGGGGACGCTGGGTAAAGCATCAGCTACTGAACAACCCTCAGGAAGCTACAGGAGAAAATGATCAACAAAAAGCCCACATCAGCATCAGGACTATATAATATATTGTACTGCTACTGATGTTCCTAACAAATGGATTTTCATGCAAATTGGAAATTAGTAATTATAGCCATTCAACATTACAGTATAATTGAAAGCCATTTTTTTTATAACATATTTATATAACTTATCAACAAATTGAAATTTCACTCTTAACCTTCACATACACTCTATGATACATATCACATTTAGCTGTACCTTTCCAAATTGTGTTGTAAATTGTTTATATAGCAATATTGTGATGTTTCTCTCTCTGTCAGCTCTCTCTGTTTGAATAACAGTTGTGTGTATATGTATATACTGTATACACACACATATTCACATCACATTCACAAAATCATCTTTGTTTCAGTGGATGCTACTGCTAATTTGAAGACGCTCCTAATGGCTGATGATGGTAGAGCTTTATGCAAATTAATCTCAGAGACTTCAATGAACGTCTCAATAAGTCATATAATAGTTTCTCGGTAATAATGTAATAATTAGCTCCAGACAGCTTCAAACATGAGGAAATTAATTGGAAACGAACCCGAAAGAGGCAGTTCATTTACCCGAGTCCAAGTTCACCAGGGTTAAGGATTATTAATTGTGTGATGATTATGTTATGAATTGCATTAATTCCTGGATAAGGAAACCATCTGCAGTTATTAAGACAGACAAACAGCTGCTCACCACTCTGAGCGCCAGTGATGGATCGTATTTGGGTCCGAGCACAAACACCTTCTGGCCTTTTCTGACGACACCGCTGTAGACTCGTGCAAAGGCCACAAAATGCTCTTTGTTTTCCTCCTCCACTGCGATTTTGACCGAAAGAGCCTCTGTCTGCGCACACAGAGCATCTGCAGAACACACAAACATACAAAATAAAGTTGATGAATACCTCAGAGTAAATATAAAAGATTTTCAACAGGACTCATTATGCATTTTTACATTTTCAACTGTCTTTAGTGTGCAATGTTGCTGTTTGAGCTAGAAACGGGTCTCAAAGTAACAAAACACAAAGAGAAAAACTCCCTTTGGAGTGACTGTGTTTTGTAACTCATTTCCTTGAAATGCCTCCATTGTAGTCTAGAGTTTTCTTCCAGGAACGAACACAAGACATATGCCCGCACAAGACATGGGCACACAAAAACAAATGGACGAGGCCTGGATGAGTTGTGTTAGTAGTGTATTGAAACTCGTTGTTATGGTCATTTCATTTTAAGTTATCACGTCATTTTGTAGGGCAAAACGCAGAAGTGAGTTAGCATTTTAGCTCTACCGGTTCCCTCGCTCTAAAGTCTATGGGTTTTTTTGAATGGGTTTTTGCTAAATCACCTGAAATAAGGTCTGTGGTGAACGAAGCCTCTAAATATTTACGTTTTGATCTATGACATAAAACACACCAGTTATAACCTGCTTGTGTTTTTTTTTTTACTTTATTGTGTCTGCTTGTTTTTTTTTTTACTTTATATAGGCTTCAAAATGTAAACATTTTGGATTAACTTGTAAAGATTATCTTGACAAACAAAACGTGTAAAGGTCACAACTTTTTGTTGAACACAGATCTTATTTTTTTGTGATTTTCCAAAAGTCTATGGGGAAAATGCATAGCTTTTCGATCGAGGGAACCCATGCGACGCTAGCTTCCGAGTTGTCCTACAAAGTGACGTCATCACTTCGGCACTCTATAGAGACCAGAACTAAACAGAGAGATACTGACAGACTAGGAAGAGAGGTGCTGCAACAATGGAAATATGTGAAAAAATAATTAGTTTTTTAACATTCAAGTATAAAAAACCTATTCTACTATAGTAAACCCCAAAAACAAAATCAAGATTTTGTAAAAGGGCATAATAGGTTCTCTTTAATTGAAAATAAAACAAAGCGGCCCCCAAATACTGTCAAAAAAATGAACGTACCATATTAGTTTGATATGCACCATTGAATAGCATTTGCCTTAGGAAATATAGCCTGTGTCAAACAAGCCTCTTTTACACATTCACTGTCACACACACACACATCATTAAACAAATTCAGTTCTTGTCTGTGACACTAGCGATGGCCAGTTGAAGTACCTCCAGCATCAGCTGACCCGGGGCTTTCTGCACTCTGATTGGCAGCTTGTCTCTCGGCGTGACGCTGTCTGGCCAGTTCTCTCCTCTGGGCGATCTCTTCCTGAGTCAATGGCCTTAAGGTACAAAAAACATCAGAAATCATAATGCACTGTTGTGAATCACAGACGTCTGTGCAGAAGTGCAACAGTGGGCTACATTGTATTCTGTAACTATTATGAATTCTATAATTCTCATGAATTACAGGAAAGCCACTTCAGATCATTGCACAATTTTATTTCATTTTATAGCACATTATAATTCCAATGCCAAATATCCTGATTTCATAGTTTATCAAATGCTGTCCATGTATTATCCTGTATTTAGTCTGAAATAAAATTGTTATAAAAAAATCATTAATTTAACATGTAAATGTCCATACAAATGATTAAAAAAAGTTATTTGAACCAGTGTATGTAACATAAAAGCTTTTTTTTTAATAGCCAAAACTTTTTTGTGCACACACATTCAATTTCAAAAGCAAAGTGAATTGATTCACCATTTCTATTCCAAAAAAAAAAGCAGACACGAGAACAAAAGGGAGCTGCAGATAAGCTTAAATAGAACACCAAACTCTTACCATTGTTGGTCCCACTTTATATTAAGTGGCTTTAAGTACCATGTACTTACATTGAAATTAATAATTTGATACAATGGACTTATTGTGTACATACATGTTTTTACATTGTACTTATATTTAAAAATTACAGCCGTAATTAATTTATGTAATTACATCTGTAATTACACAGCTGACCCATCCCTTACACTTAAACCTACCCTTAAACCGACCCATACCACCACACCTGTCCCTAACCTTACCTGTATCACACCTCAATAGCACCAAAAGTGATTTACAATACAACATGAGCACATTAAGTACATTGTAAGTAAATGTAAATGTAAGTACATAGTACTTAAAACCACTTAATATAAAGTGGGACCCAATTGTTTAACTTGAAGATATAAATCTTAAAGTGAAACCGGATGGAAAAAATCTGGCTCAGTTCGCAAAATACCAAAAATGTACCAAGGAGTTACCATAGCTTGAAACTAGCCAGCATCAAGCACTAATAATATGCTTTTATGCTCCCAAGCAGTAGATCCAATAGAAGATTTAAAGCATGTTTGCCTCCAAACTGCTGCCATATTTATTAAAGGCCCTTCTAAAGCAAAGTGATGGCTTCATCTGAGGAGATGACAGATGAACGATTGTTAAAGACTATTAACAAATCGCTGCAAGAGGAACATACCAGTCAACAAGTGTGACTTATTTTGCTTTATATCCAAATATAGATCCTATGCGGTTACATGGCATAATTGCAGAGACATTACCAGTCAAATGATTGTGGAGTTCATCAAGTTTATTTTTTATGACACTGCAAAACACTGGCCAAAGCTGTAATTGGTAACAAAAGTTTCAGCTCAGTATTGACTGAAGCGATGCATGTAGTATGGCAGACTCAATAGAGTTATGAGAGTTATATATTATTATAGTTTATATAAAGATATTTTATGTTTATTACATTTTTTATTTGCTAAAAAAATAACAAATAAATACAGAAGGGAGCGGTCACTCAGTAGGGCCTATCTACAGTAGTTTTGGCACCAACCTTATATTTCCCATGAATGAAAGAATACATTTCATTCTTGTCGATCATTGATATCGCTTGACAAAAAGGTAAAAAAAAAAAGTTGAGATTCGCACCAAAATGTGTGCAAAATTGAGAAAATGGGAGTTTGATTTACAATCCCATCATGCTGTGAAGGGGGGGGGCAAATGTGGTTTCTCTCGGTTTATGGAATGGTGCATGATTGTCAATGATTAAATTAAATTTATTTTATTACTTTTTATTTATTTTTTAACACTGCAGTGAATTAAATACCAGATGGGATTTGTCTCTTTAATGCTAGGAAAATGTAACGGGACAAAGTGTACCTTATTCATGGAAAGTGTTGGCTGTAACTTCAGAGTCGGGAACAAAGCAAGCTACGATGATTTGAGAGAACATTGCCATGTCGAAATATTAATTACAATTTTGGGGTGCATAAATTACATCAAAACAGGATACGGTCCAGAGGAAAACCTCAACTTCTAAAAGCTGTGTTTAAAAAAAAAAAAAAGTAGTGCAATAGCAACTACAATTGTGAATTTGACCATAAATCAACTGATTTGGGTCTTAATTACACTCAATAGATTTTTTCCCCCCTTTTGACTTCCGCTCCATCAGTGCTTCAATCATGTCGTGCGTCTCAAATGCTTTATAGCAGTCCTCCGAATTGTAATGTTTTCCTTTTCAAAGGTCTGAATGTTTTCACTTATTGGCAATAATGGAAACAGCATGAAGCTCATTTACAAGCTCGGCCACTGTGGTCATGAAGTAATGGGTACAGAACCTTACGGCCAAGTCTTCAAAAACCACAAGCGGGACTGTTTTTTAATATTCTCAAAAGGGAGAAAAAGATGATAGAGGAATGGAAATATAAATTATTTCTAAATCTGCACACACAAAACACATAATCTACTCACAAAACACACTTCATCAGTTTTCAGCATGCAATACATTAAAATACAGATGTTTTCCATTGGAAACAATGGAGATTTGTGAATCTGCAGTCAGGGTTCCCACCTTGGTTAACTTCAAATTCCAGGACCTTTCAAGGACTTTCTAGGTCCAATACCCTCAAATTAAAGGTCTTAATGTGGGGGCACATTTGTTGTGTCCAACAAAAAACGTTGAGGTATCGTCTGTAATTTGGTGCATGGTAGTTTCATGCATGGATGAACGTCATGGCAAGGTACAACACAAAAAAGTACCTCATGCAGGAAACACTTAACTTATTATAACTAACGTAAATCAAGCAAGCTAGTATGCATTGGCTACGAAGTGTTGGTGAAATAACACATTAGTGGACCGGAGGGAATAATATGGAATTTTTAAACAAAATAAATTCAAGCACTTTCAAGGACCTGTATCTATGCATGTTTATTTTCAAAAACTTTCCAGGGCCTTAAATCTAAATTTAATTCAGATTGACAAACTTTCAAGGACCCGTGGGAACCGTGTGCAATGTATAAAATTACATTTTAAATCCAATAAATATGTTATATAAACAATTAGATTTATGCTCACAGCATATAAATAACAGATGGTCTCAAGAAATCCCAGGTTCGAACCTGACCAACCTCCACTGTTCTAATAAAGAACAGTATAAACATTTACATTCATAAGAATAATTCATAATAATAATTGTATATATAATGTACACATACCTACACATTTGATTAAATGATCAAAATAATAAAAATATTTATATTTGATTAAGGCACTTATCTGATCAAATTATTTGTAATTATTGGCAAACTACAGCACATGTAAAAATAATGCAAAGAAACTTTAAAAAGCATACATTGACTACATTGCATTATCAAAAATAAACAACTTTTGTAATAAGATTACAAAACCTTCATTATTTTTTTTAAATATAATATTTTTATCAAAATGTTTAATAATATTTAAATAAAAGGGTGAATATGTCAGTTTTCCTAGGCTGGACATCACTTTTTTGGTCACTACTGTACATTAACATTTGCAAGGTTGCATACACTCTATATATAGAAACCTATGTTTTTTGACTAAATGACAAAATTAAATTTGAAAGTTTTATGCCTAAAAGTTGGTTGTTGTTTTTTTTTATACGGAGAAATGTCTTAAATGATTGCATAATAATTCCATGTCAGGTTATTTCATTTTTACAAGTGATAAAGTATGTTTACAAGCTCAATTTCACTAACATTAAAATGCATTAAAAAAAAAATAATTAATTAAAACTAAATCCATAAAAATTAGTTTTAAATAAAAAAAAAAAAGGTTATATATAGTATACACATATACAGTTCATGACAGAACACTTTATGGTTATATATAGAACCTTTTCTCCTTCTAAGAGTATTTTAAAGAAACCTTGCTATTCCAATGAGTAACATTGTTTATTGCATAATCAATGTCTTTGCATGAGCACTCAACAGCCCAACCAATTTTCTGCCTACCGACTGCCTTGTGCCATTAATAAAAGCCCCCAGCACCAGCAGCCAATCAGGCAAGCCAACATATTAACGTTGCATGCAGGGTATGTGTAAGAGTGGCTGACAACACTCCCACACACCAAATCTCATACCACACACACACACACACACACACATTGACCCAAATTGATCATTGCTATGGCAACCCCAAAGGTGGAGGAATGCATTTGTGCTTTGCAGGTTTCATGATGCACTTCATTCAGCTGGGGGTGGGGGGGGGTATGGGGGGGGAGAGGAAAAAATAGCAAACTTGACCTGAGAGTACATGTCAGGGGTGTGCGCCATTCAATCCCTTAAAGTCAACTGAGGTGACAGGCAGAAAGCAAATAGAACAACACAAAGAAAGAAATGCAAAACTACTTGTATTTTTAAATGTTCAAATAGAGCAATTTCATATATAAAAGTTTTAAATCTGTATTTGAAATTAGTCTATTGTACTCACAAAGGTTGTATTTAATTGATATAAAATAGAGTAAAAACAGAAATATTGTGAAATATTATCTCAATCTAAAATAACTGTTTACCATTTAAATAAATATGTTAATGTCATTTTTCCTCCAGAGTCACATTATAATATGCTGATTTGCATGCTCAAGAAACATTTCTTATTATTTTTTGTGGAATATTAGTTGTTTAATTTCCTCACATTTTTTCAGATTTTTTTGATGGATAAAGTTCAAAAGAACAGAACATTGTGTAACAATAAAAATAAATTAATAATTCTTTAAATTTATCCTCCAGTCATTCCAATTCAATGTCATGTGGGAAATCATCAATCTGATTTAAATCCACACAGATGACTTGAAAAGAAAATAAATAAATTTTCAAACGTTTTTTTGCTGTAAATCTGCAAGGAGGAATTCTATTCAGAATCCACAAGGAATTTCTAATAAATACTTCAAAATGGCAACAAAAACCTAAAATCTCTTAGTGCCACGCTGAAGAAAAAAAAAACTCTCCCAAAAAAACAGTTCTTTTGAAAGTATACCATTC